TTGAGACTTTAGTGTTGAGGGTTTAGGATGGGTGATTGGAAGTTTTCTGCCCTCACCGAAGGCTTCAACAGGTAGAAGGGCGTTGTAGGGTTTTGGGGTGAGGGCTTTAGTGCTTTTGAGTCTTGGTGCTGGGGGGTTTTGGGCTTAGGGCTCTTGAGCTGTGTTGCTGTTTTCACTTTGGTTGACTTTGTGGTCATGGGGGATGCAATTACTAATTGCTGTTGACTCTTATTAAAGTGAAACTTAATACATCAATGGGGTCGAACCAGCTTGACCCCTGCGTCGGGTGCTGCACTGTCGTGAGCCTGCAGGTTGACTTGGGCCCACGACCTACGTACGGGCGGCGGCAAAGAATGATGCGACCCACTCATGTGGTGTGCTAACCTGTTTGGCAGTTCAGCCAATGGTGATTGTTCCGGGCTGCGCTGATCAGGGCAGCAGCCAGTAGACCGTCGGTGGATGATGTGGTCCTCGCTGGGACTAGGTCACAACGACAGTGGCGGGTCCTTTCCATTTGATGCGCGGTACGGTTCCAGCTGCTTCTCGCCAGTAGAAGCACTTCTGACCCACCAGAAGGCGAGGTGGGTCTCCTCGGTGTTGTCGTAGTAGAGCCCGTCGTAGGTGAAGGTCGTTGTCAGCCCTGACAACAGCTGTAGCAGCTGTTACTGCTGTTGTTGTTGTTGTCGCTGCTGCTAGTTTGTTGATCTTGCCTGCGGCTCAGATTTCCGTGTTTAGGACTCTACTGTAGGGGGCATGCAAAGCCTCATTGGCTTCGTCTTTGGGAATGGGCCGTGTCCTCGCGATTGTATTCTACGACTCTGGGACTCCTTTCTTTCCAAAAATGTCGGCCGGCCTGCACTGGGTCTGTGTTTTCTGTTTGTTGAAGGGGGGTAGCCTGAGGCCTTTCAAAGACGTCGGGTTTAGGGTTTAAGGTTTAGGTTTCAGGGGTATTTTGTCCACCTAGTACGTATATGCCTATCGCTAAACCTCACCCTACATACAGTGTGGCTGAAACTTCGGCCCTTAAGCGCTTGCTGCAGATTTTGAGTTTCCGCATGTCCATCTCACTCAACCCCTGGAGCCATTTGGACTTGAGACGTGAAGCCGAACCCCTCAAGCCGAAAATCCTTCCAAGCCCAAGCCTTAAGCCCCGACCCTGCAAGCAACTGAGTTGGCCTCGGAACTCCAAACCCTAAGCCCTAAACCCGTGGTGGCACACACAGGCAAGCATCGAAGATATGCCTTGGCCAGTGCAGTGGATGACCTTGGACACCGGGATTTAGGGCCCCAGAAAAGCACATAAACAAGAATTAGGATAGTGATATCCCATATAAACCCCCTTTATAATGAAGTCCAATAAGTTAGGGATATCCCTACAAAATGTTTATGCTTATGTCCTTTTTGGGTTCCTAAGGATTTGGGTATGTGGGGTATGGGGAATACGGTTCCCGGACTAAGAACCTAAGGTATAGGCACTGGTTCCGTCAATAGCTAGGCTCAGAACAAGCAGAGCCCAGGTTCGCTTCAGGGTGACCCGCAAAGCTTGCAATTAAGTGTATCAAGGTTCGGACTACGGCTCTTTTTTCGGCAGTAGTACCGTAGCAACACTACCTTAATCGCAAGCCGTTTATCCTGCGACACATGTGGTCTCTTGCCTGTGACAGCTTCGGAAGCCCAAGACCGCATCATGCACGTAGTATGTCTGCATCATGCGCCATTCTGCCGGCTTCAGTTTGGTGACGTCCTTGTCTGTTTCGTCCGGCAGTGTCTTCGGCAGGTCGGTGGTGTGGCTTGCAGCACAGGATCTACTCTACATCACAATCAAAGACAGGACACAAGCTACGAAGTTTAGAACCCGTATTTGAGGATGTTAGTAGTAAAAGAATAAGCTGGAATCAAGGGCCTCCTCGGTGGCAGGTGTCCCGCCGATGAAACCACCGTTCTCAGGAACCAGCTCACCTCTACGGATCATGTCATCCGCCTGCTGCACGACTTCTTTAACCTCTCTCGCAGCGGCTGCCTTGCCTGTGCATCTGGAAAAACCCCGAGGCCCGGGGCCTCAACCAAGGCCTGGGGACAGCAGGCCGGAGGGAGTCCGGCAAGGAGGCTACCTATGCCTGCAGCATCACCCAGTATTGGACATAGTCAGTGAAGGAATCCCAGCTCGAGAAAGCTCCAATACGCGGCCTCCAACTCTGCTCGCAGCTCCGCGATGAGAGCAAAGGCCACGAGATCCATGGCGAAAGAAGCTCATGTTGGCCTCTTCATTTTTCGTTCTTATGAACGTTTCGGAGTGCATGTTGATTATGACGACGACGATTGCTTCTACAACTGTGAATCCAGTGCTTGAGATCTCATGGTCCACAGCAAAGTCCTGGCGAATGCTGTGTGAAATAACCTTACCATGTGACCACGAAGTTGTGCGTAATGCTTAATGCTACGCCTACTACCACTAGTACTAACAATAGCAGTTGTTGTCTCAACTGTTTCCTAACAGACCGAAATGGAAAAAAAGGTACCAGTATATGACTGCCAAGCAAACCAAAGTACAACAACGAAACAGCACCACCTATCTTACATGGTGGATGATCGAAGCAGAGCAGATAGGGACGCCTACGAGTCATTCCTGAGAGAAGCAAAAGCTCGAGCACACCTGAAATTCGAAAGCCTCACTATACACCCTATGCCCTGAACCCTCAACCCTGAACGACAAACTGTGAACCCTAAGCCCTAAGCCTTGAACCCTAAACAGCGAACCCTGAACCCTAAACAGCGAACCCCAAACCGAAACCCTAAACTGTTCCTTCGGAGTGTGTGTCACCTAGACAGTGCAGATGAGTACTGCATGCTGCAAACCATACAACCATTTCTGCAACAAGCGGCTACGGTTTAGGGGTGTAGGCTGTAGGGACTTAGGGATTTGGGGTGTTGGAGGCTATGGGGACAAGAAAGGTTTACGGTTTAGGGGTTTAGGGGCTGAAGGCTTTGGCGACGAGGACAGCCTGAGGTGGGACATGCTACCTATAGTCTCCATTGTAGTTCCTTTTTTTGGTTAATTAACCAAATATATATTCAGGATTTTATAAGGTATCCCCAAAAAAGAACTACAATGGAGACTATAGGTATTCCTGGCCCCTAAACATCCAAACAAGTTTTCCAAGTACAGTGCACCATGGGGCTGTGCGTGTTTGGGAGCTTTAAAGGACGACTGTAGCACTGAGCCAGGCTCCTTTGTCCATGTGGAAGGTACAAGGCTGCGGCACTTTCTGGGTTCGCTCCTGTACGCCTAGGATCTGCTGTTGCTTCTCCAAAAACTGGGTTCCTTATTTAAAGTGGCTCGACGAACTTTTGAGAAACTTCCCCAACTTGTACGATCCGTGTTGCGAAACCTATCAGGAACCACTGTTTTCTGCATCAGCTTCCTCAAACTGAAAGAAACCTGAAGAACTAACATAAGTATTCAGTTGTAGCCCCAAAAAACCTAGCAACAAAAGTATATTTCAAGGGCCTAAAGAAGGGGTTTAAAGCTGGGTGTAGAAGATTCAGTGGTTGATAAGGTGTAACCCTAAACCTAAACCCTAAACCCTAAGCATGGGGATCTGATGGATCGGAGCTTCAGGCTTTACCATGAGCCCCCTCGAAGAAACATCGTTTTCTCCAACAGCCCCCTGATTCTTTTGTCATAGCAAACAGCCGTAAACCCCTAAACCCCAGACGAAGATAGTTCTAATTGAGATCCGAGTTTAGAGAATAAGCTGAAGGCTACCTGGATCCGGGCCAAGTTGCAAAGTCACGCACGCAAAGGTCCCCTGTGATGACCTGCTACAGATCACGATCCAAGATGCTTTGGGCAAGAGTTTCTGAAGCATGAGTAACATTGTGCCAGTGCCCCGGTCACTACTTAGAACCCTATATTGCAAGTAGGGCAGTCAGCAGCGCCTAGAACTCATTCTCAACCGCCATCTCGTCGGAAGAACGTTGCACAAAGTACGAAATAGATGTCCCAAGACCTACCTAGACCCTGGATGTTAGTAACCCTCTTTTTAGGTGTAGCCGCTGGGTTCTGCTGAAGCCAGTGCTTTACCTCGTCGGGCAACAGCGCTGCGGACACACCGTCCGGACTCTTGGGTAGGTTCTGCGCCCAGCTCCCAAACTCCAGGGACCCTTTTGGAAGGGTGGCGCACTGCCAGCGCATGTACTGGTACATGGTGGCGAAGTTCCACCTGGTCCACGCTGCCGGTTTCCCACGGCGAGTGTATTCGCCAGACCAACTCTCGATGGCAGCCGTGGGATTGGGCCGGTGATTTGATGGATGGAATCAGTTGGGGGTGTCCGAAAATACGGGACCCGGCGACCCTCATATAGTACCTTAAATAATAGGATCCCTAATATAGGGACCCCAAAATGTACCCTAGATAATAGGATCCTTAATATAGGGACCCCAAAATAAGGTACCCCTAATTTTCGGAATCTCCCAGTTCCGAGCTCCGGCAAAGGCTTCGGCCTTTGAGCTCCAGCTCCTCATCCTCTCAAACCCTTGAGCCTAAAGCCTGAAACAGGGTTTAGGGTTTTTTGTTTTTTTTAACACCTCTTTTCCTTCGCCTGATAAGGGTTCCGGAATACCATGTTGGTTGAGGCAATGGACAGGAGGGTTTAGGGTTTATAGGGTTTAGGGTTTGGCTCTAGCTTGGGAGTTTGGGTCCAGGCCCTTCGGGGGGCAATGAACCTTACTGAGCTATTTGTGTTGCTAGGAAGCCTGATGTTGCTGAACTTTAGAGCTCATAGCTGAGATGTTTGAACGGCGAGTTTGGGCGTAAGGCCGATGGCTGGGTCGTTTGGAGCGCTGGGGTTTCAAAGCTGCCGTTCGAGGTGGTCTTGAATAATATATATATATATATATACATACATGATAAAGATATAGATACAGATTTATACGTAAAAAGAAAAGGAAATTCAAATATGCCTTGTCGATCCATGAAGTCCTTAAGCCGGAAGTGAACTTCGATGTCCCGCTTTTGGGAATCGTGCCGTGGTCATGAACAGGTGCTAGATTCCCCAGTAAACCAGTTAAAAGCAGGGTACCACTTTTTCCTAATATTCGGTCTTAATACGGAAACCTGGCGAAAAAAGAGGCAACAGGGTACTACTGGGGAACCTAGGGTGTTGCAGATCTTACCTTCCAGGGTTGAACTGCAGGGGTGCAGGGACTAACGTTTTGGAGTTGCTTGGGGGCCTGCTGCGGATTCTACGGCCTACAGAGTATAAACTATGGGCAACCGATAATGAAAAGGGGTTTGGAGTACAACATTTGGTGCATGAAGGAACCCTCCAGGAATAGTGTTGGTAATTGCGCAAGCCCTAATACTATGCTTTCGGGGTTGGAGTTGGAGTACTGAGGAGAGGGGTGATGTATGATTCCATGAGTGCTACAAGTTCTGACGCCCTGAAGTCGAATGCAAACTTCCAAAACACCACAACACTTGATGTGTCACGGAGATCCAGCTAGCCAATATCATCAAACACCAGAAGCGCAGTATCGGTGGAATAGGTGCAATACAGCGCGCCCAAACCATATTCTCAATACCGGGCCCTAAACCGTGAACCCCTAAACCC